ATATATATATATATATATATATATATATATACACATATATACATTTTTATTTTACCTTAGCCCTTTATTTTTATTTAGTCCTAGCCTTAATACGTGTAGAAGATATATGTAAAACCACTAACTTCCTTTGAAGTTAAGTAATGTACTCTTTCTATGTTGATCTGGTTCTTTCTTTTGTGTACATTATATATTTGTGTGCTGTGAAGAAGACCTGTACATTCCCATTGGTCAGAGCTGTATCTATGTAGGTCATCTGCACGGTTAAGATTATCATAGTTTTGTTTTCTGCTCCAGCTTTTGCTTTAATATTCTTTTGTGAATCTTTTCTTCCAAGTGAGCAAATTAGGTTAAGCAGTAAAAGTCTCAAGCCCTGGCCTTATTTAATATTTACTTAAACTCTTCTTAATATCCCCAGCCCAGATTAAACTCCTGTTTATGGTTATTCTTAGAAAAATGAACAGCCTCTTTCCTCCTTGTTGCTGCTCATATTCAAGTTTTTTTTACGTTGATCTTCCTGTGGAGAATTAAGTATTTTTCCTTGTGCAGATTTGTGGATTTTTATTCCTAAATCATCTCATTGGGAGCTCTGCCTGTGTTGATGCCTTGCTTAAGATTTAAAAAAAGCGGTTAATATCTAATATGTTTCTCTGAGGGATTTGTGTTTTTATGATTTTAATCCTGGCATGAAGCCTATTGCCAATTTCAGAACGCAAATGACCTCTTAAGCCTTTTTGTGTTTTTTGATTTAATTTATTTTCTAATGAAGGGCAATATGCACTGTGTTTAAAGTACTGTGCTTGATTTTTTTCTTTTTCTTTTGAAGTGACTTTACACTTCAAAACCTTCTCTTTCCCAAAATGATGAAATTAATACAATGCATGCACCTCTAGGTACCTCATTTAACCTTACCCCAGGGTCTTTGGGGACCCAGGAAACCCTGAACTTGGGGCATTTTGATATGCTGATCTCTGGTTTTGCTGTGAGTTTGGTAATGGTGCACAAGATGCAATAAATGGTACAGGTTATAAACTGAGGGGGTGAAAGGGTTAATGTATCGGTCGCATCCAGTGGGAGGATGGAGGTGAAGGGGTTCATGTATAGATGTACAGGATAAGGGAGGTGAAAAGGTTAACATACAGGTCAGAGCATTTTTGTTTTTTGCTGCTACTGCAGTTTGTTTTCATTAGGAAGTAATGATTGGATGACTCATGTCATGTGATAACCAATCACAGCGGCCACAGAACAGAGCCGGTCCAATCGGCTCTGTCTCTAAAGTCGTGGCTCTCTACTGTCTGACAGCGGCCACAGCCGCGCCCAAACAAGTGTTCACTGGAGGACATACGCGTAAGCTCGGGTAATTCCCCTCTCAGACATCTGTCCAAGTGCGTGACCCCATCCGAAAAGATTTCCCTCTTGTTCTGCGGACAACTTTTTTATTTCTCAGTGAAAATAGTTACCAGAACAAATGGAGGCAAGTCTCTGTAATGGGGATGAAAATAACTTGACAAAGGGTCTAACCTTTCCAAAAAAGTAAATAACATTTTGCCTAGATATACACTAATGATTTCAATGGGAAGATCTAAAAAAAGGGGTCCTGATAGTGGTCCATGACGACCAGCGCTGGGCAAATGCAAGAATAAAATAAAACTTTAGGTAAATTTAGGGATGCACCGATACCAAGTATGTGGGCGAATACTCGTACTCGCCCAAATTTTTTCGACATTTATCACGATGCCGTAACTTCCGGTATCGGGAAGCCAGGCGGCGAGGCATGACACGCTGTTCGGCTTCCTGATTGGCCAGTAAGCCGGCCCCATGCTCCCATGTCACCAGGGAGTATGGAGCTGGCTTCCTGGCAAATCGGAGAGGCGGGTAATGACTTGCTCTCCGGCTTCCTGATTGGCTGGGAAGCTTGCTCCATGCTTCCTCGTCACCTGGTGGAACTTCCTTAACCACTTCAAGACCAGGTGTTTAGACCCCTCAATCAAGTAGAATCCATCTTTTTTTGTTACTTTTTTTTAATTGTTTTATTGAAATGGTTGATTTTTTTTGGGGGGGGGTATACAATTTTCATATAACTGGGCTGAGGTCTTTCTCTTCCCCAGACCGCATGAAAGTTGCATACATGCTGCGGCTGTTTTTTTGTTTTCGTCCCTGTACATGAAAACATGAAGCATCTGCAGTTGTGATTTCTTCAACATTTCTATCACACACAATAAGCTTCTAAGAACTAAATTCCGTTACTGGGGGTTAGTGTTTTTTTTTCCCTTTGTGTCTTTTTTGCCAGAAGTAGAAAAGAGATTAAAATCCCCATGATGATAAATATTCCCGTTACAGACCTTAATCTCCTTTGCGACGATAGAAAAGTAACATAACGGCACAGCTGAGCGATACAAGCATATTGATTAAGCAGCATGTCTATGTGTACTTATCCGATCACGTTACAGATCTGTGTAAACGGCCCGCTCCCTAAATATTCCGGCACCAGCCGAGCACATATGGGAAATGAGTTTCTCTTATGTTGAATGTAATCTTGGACGTTAGCTCTAAATCTTTCCTTATCCTTAAGCCTCTTCATTTCTTGCACAACTGCATTAATTTCTTTTGGAAAGCTTTGCATTTCTCGACCGTACAGAATTCTTACTGTACAGAGGACAACTAGTTTGTCTCATCATGTGGAGCACCAGAAGAAGGGGAAATGTGTGATTTTTATTTTTTATTTTTTTTTATTTTTTTTGTTATTTAAAGAGAACCTGTGCTAAGAAAAATTTACTAGCTGGTATCACTGACTCGCTACTTAAAATGCTATATGCCTGGCTGTCTGTAACTGCATCAAGTCGCTGATATGGAAGAATTTTGCTGTTGGGTAAAGCTAAAAAAAAATTATCTACGAGGGACATTTTTCTTTTTTCATTTTTACTTATTTTACTTTGCTTGTTCAAAAACACATTTTCCTTTTTTTGCTACCAATTTGATTTGATTTGCTTTGTGTACACCGCATACACAATGCCGTGTATACTAAGGTCCCTAAAGTAGGAGCTCGGTGCATATACGCTGGAGTCACATAATCGATGGCTGATGTAAGAAGCTGTGGGGAAGATGGGAGCAGTGGCAGTGGAGTGGACAATTAGTGCTTGTGAGCTGTCAGCACTTTTCGAGGACCAAATTAGATTAACAGGGTAAGTCCACTTTCCCAGGTCAATCTGTGAAAAATAAATTTGCCTCCTCCAATCTGGCCCCCTCTTCCCCCTTGCTACACTTGCCTTTCGGCGAACGCTCCTTCCCCTCCTCTGGCATGGGTGTAGTATCCGTACTCCGTATTGCAATGTAGCGCAGCCCTGTCACCTGACCGCTCTGACCAATGAGAAGCGCTGCTGACCTTGCTAAGAAGCGCATCTCATTGGTAGTACACCCGTACCGGTGGAGAGGGAGGAGCGTTTGCTGAAAGTTAAGTATAGCGGGGAGGGGAAAGGGGGCCAGATTGGACGAGGTAATTCCATTGTCACAGATTCACCTGGGAAAGTGGATTTACCCTTTTAAATCTGCCATAGTGTGTACGTATGCGTATACTTAGGTCCAGTTCACGCTAATGTTGTTAAATATGTTGGTACATTTGAATGGCAGCCAGCACACTTTGTGACAGATGTGAATTGCAGCCCAGCGCAATGTGCAGCGACGCACTAACGTGTTGTGGTGTTCTGGCAATAAATGGTGCATGCAATTGTGTGTAAAATCTGCGCTTTTGGGGTTTCCTTTCAATGCAATGTTTCGGCAGCAGTGAAAACAAGTGAATCCTAAAGTCACTCTTTACAATCTCAAGACAAAGTCACTGCGCTAAAAAACTAACAACTTACACATAAATATACAAAAACAATAAAGTGCCTAGTGATATCCCCAACATAATACGCAACCTCCCCTATGGTTAAATTCAATACAATCTCAAAACTGCATGTGCAATGTGTTGTGATCCAGATCACATGTGCAACTCCACAACTTGGTCTCAAACAAAAACAAAAAAAAGGCTCTTTAAGAGGATATGTCAGCAATATATAAAGTGCAAATGTTCAACATTCCAAAAAGGTATTTCTTAGTGTGATATCCTTAGTGTTTCTGTGTAATCAATACACTCACCAGACTCCTTTGACCACTATTAAATGGCCAAACTGCACTCAGATTCAAATCCTTAGCGAGCCGCTCTCCCAGGACAGCTGATGGCAACCTCCTTTGCATTCAATATCTCCTTTTCAGTTTGCTGTTTTATTTTAAAAAACTGTTGGAAAGTCTTCATGACGAAACATGTGAAGGAGGAGTTAACACGCTGATGTCATCAAGCTGACCACGGGGTGAGAAGCTGTTTGCCAGTGGAGGAATTATACAGCTCTGCCTATTAAAGGAGAACTATGGGGTTAGGGCTTTTCCCCATAGTTCTCCTTAGGGTAACGGGAGGACACAAACTAGCGTCCTCCCGTGACCCAAAGCTCAGTATACCGCGAGCTACAGCTCGCGGTATACTGAGACGCCGCAGCCAGAGCGGATCCTGACTTAGACTACGGGATCCGCCCAGCTGCGTGAGTGACAGCTGGCTCTGCCTATCTAGAGGCAGAGCCAGCTGTACCCGCCCCTCCCCCGTCCGTTCCGCCAGTCAGCGCTGGCAGATCGGAGAGGGGAATCCAGCCCCTCCCCTTTTACGGCAGAGAGCTGTGACAGGATCGAGAGGTGAGCGAACCCGGTATGTGTTCGCTCACCTCCCGATCTACTGAGCCGACCTGTGACAGTCTCATTGTCACAGGTCGGCTAGAACTATGAGGTGAGTGAAAAGCACTCACCTCATAGTTCTCCTTTAAGCCTTGAATATAAGTATATTTTGTAAGTTTTTTTTTTTTAGCGCAGTGACTTTGTCTTGAGATAATAAATGGCACTGCTCTGCAATACAAGAACATGTGTTGCCTTATGCTGCACTGCAATGTGCATCCATTGGCAAGGTGCATTGCATGGCACCATTGCATATATTGTGTACTGCCACACGATGTGGTAAAGTGCGCGGTATCGCACCGTGTGAACAGGCCCTTACTCATTACAGAAGTTGCTCCCTTTTCTCCCCTCTTAAATTGGCACACCTGACCAGTGACTCACCGTAGTGAAGCCATGTAAGCCAAGCCACTAGCATTTTCCAAAAGGAGAGGTTGGCAGCGACAGACTACATATTTCTTGGCACAAGTAAAGGTTTTCCAAACCTGAGCCATTCTAGGTGAACATAAAATGAGAAACCGCATACACAGATCTTTCCTTTAGTAAAAAGAAACAAATATCAGGATAGGTTAAATTGGTATATTCAGCAATATAGGCAGCTGAAGCTAAAAGCAAAGCTCACATTTTCCTGTAAAAGTCAGGCTTAGCAACACCCCTTCCACATCTTGAGCCTCCTTGTTGGTCATTGAAGCCTGTCATCACATGGGATCAATAGGTAAGCAAGAGGGGAGTGGGGTCAAGATCAACTTTTACAGGAAAGGTTGACAGTGGTATATAACTTCAACTGCCTATATCTCTGGATCTACTATATAATTCTGGCAGTTGAGAGGGGAGGGGGTGTTCCTGAGCACCTGATTATCATACAGAATGCTCCCAGCCTTCAGAAGATACTTTTAAGAAGAACAGAAATTGTGTACAGGCAACTATCGGGCATATATGCTTATTGATTGGTTGGTGGTAGTAACAGGTACACTTCAGGGATCTTTCCTTATTGAAATTATTTACGACGAATTTGCAAGTCAGCAGGGTCATTGATCGTTATGTGTATTTGCTTTTTCTCCGAATGCTTAGGAATTCTGTGGGCGAAACATTAAGAATGGTGTCTGGAAATCAGAATTTAGGTGCTGCAGGCTACGAGACCACCCAGCACTTCAATGACCTCAAAGAGCACCTCCACGTGGTGAAGAAAGACATCGAACATCTAGTGCAGAAGAACTTGGTAAGTATTTGAAAGTGTAAGTTCCTCTGCTACAGAGATTGATGTGACTGGCTCAGTGTTTATTAATAATAATAATATGTCCTATATTTGTTTTTTATCTAGATTTATTTTTTTTGTAATGTTATATTTAACGCCTGCCTCCAGGGGAAACACAACCACCCTCCATCCCCACACTGCAAGGGTTCACTGCTCCTTTATGTCTACAAGTATGTTGTAAAGGAGTTTTACTTCCCTGATCCCTGCTGGCTCCATGCCCGCCACCCGCTGCCTTCTTGGCACTCCAGCTGTGCCAAAACTACAAATCCAAACATGCATCTGCCTCTGGGAGTTATGTCTGTGGCTGTCAGAGCCTTGCATTGCCTCATGGGACTTGTAGTTCCAAAACAGCTGGAAGCCAAGGTTCGCCACCACTGTCCTAGACATAAATGAGCAGTGAATCCTTGCAGTAGGACTACCCCCGCATGAAGGTTTTTATTTCCCCAGAGATGGCCTTCAACATTATTAGATAGATTTCTAACTTGCAATTGCAAACAATGACCAACTTCCACCCTCAGTCCCGACCTTTTTGTTTTGTGGAATCCAATCTCCTTTTGAAATCCTGACTTTGACGGTAATGCAAAAACCCGTCAACACAGGCCCCTAAAAGAATATAAGCAACAGTCCCTGTTCTTGGCTCTTCCAGGGATTAGGTTTTAAGTTCACAATGATGGTCAAGAAGATCCGAAATACTACTGGTCAGGTTAAACTTGCATGTATTCATAGATCCCGTCCCATGTTTACAAATTAAAAACATTAATTTATTTGGGCTCACTGAACCCTTTTTCTGAATGCAGCAGGCAAAGGTAAAGTAGCCATCTGTCCAAGCTCACTCCTGTATTGGACTACAATCTCATTAGTAAACTAAACATGAGATTGTAGTCCATCACAGGAGTGAGCTTGGAGTGGTGACTACTTTACAACACACACAGGGACCATGGGGAAGAAAAGTAGCCCCCCTCCAGAAGGAAAGACAGTGTCGGCATAAAACAGTATCTCTTCTTTTGAGTAGTCATTCTTATTGAGATTGTGCCATATAGAGGTCAATGTGATCTTCCTAACCAGTGGGGAAAGGAATATGGGTCTGCCATCTCTGACCTTGTACCAGGGTAACTGCTGTCTTTCACAGGCTTACAGTATTGAAGCAAAAACTCATTGCGGGCAGCCAAGCATCTCGTTTTTTTTTTAGGGAAAGAGATCAGCAGTTTCTGTCTTACCACATTTTGTTTTTGTGACTTTTTGTTCCCAGAGCAGTGCTAACCATGATTAGGGGAGGCAGACATCCATTTGTGAATCAATATAATTACTAACCAATTGTTTTAAAAAATTAAAGTGACACTAAACTCGGGAATTAAATCTTAAAAATGATTTCAAGCACCTTAACTGTTTACCAAAAATGTATCTTATTTGTGTATCACTCGGCTGTAGATCCTCAAATCATCTCTGAATTGGTGCTGACACTGTCCTTCTTCTGGAGGGGGGCTACTTTTGTTCCCCATGGTCCCTGTGGGTGTTGTAGTCACCTCCCCAAGCTTGCTCCCACGATGGACTACAATCTCGCATTTCGTTTACTAATTTGTGTTGAGATTGTAGATCATGGTAGCGAGCTTGGAGCGGTGACTACAACATACACAGGGACCATGGGGAACAAAAGTAGCCACCCTCCAGAAGGAAGGACAGTGTCAGCACCAATTCAGAGGTGATTTGAGGATCTACAGCTGAGTGATACACAAATAAGATACATTTTTGTTAATAGTTAAAGTACTTGGATGCATTTCTAGGATTTAACGCCTGAGTTTGTTATGTTCTTGTTTGCCTAACATGATTTCATTTAATATTTGGTTTCATACAAATTGTTTTCTTTCCTTTTTTTTCAGCCACATGAAAAACAGAGGTGTCCAGAAATTACCATCCCTTCTTGTCTCTCCACTACACACTTCTTTATGTTTGTAGCAGTTCAAAGTGTTTTGTTAATTGGTTACTTTATGTACAGGTAAGCAAAGGATCAGTCAGTGGGCATATTTAGTTGCATACTCAGTCGGTGACTCCTTCTATGACTGATAAAGTGGGTTTAAAACATTCTCGGTCATTATGTTTCCTGGAAGCAGTGCATCATTCCCAGTTCTAGTGATCATACGCCTGCCATTGTCTGTCTAGGTGAATGACAGTCACTGCTCTCTGCTGTGAGCGGAGACTGAGAGTTATCTGATCAGTGGTCATGTGATCGGTCAGCTCTCGTTCTTCGAACTGGCATATGATAGATGCAGTGTCCTGCGCCAGCTACTATTAGGAAAGTTTGTTCTACTCTCCCCTTACTTAGTAGGGTAGTTCAACTCTCCCCTTAGAATTAGTAGCTTCAACCCATAGTAGGCATAATTCTGCCCCCATAGTCTGAGGAAGCCCATTATTGGGTGAAACATGTCAAAGTGAAGAGGATCCACAGGAGGACGATGTGTACCTGGTATGCTATAATAAAAATCTGTGACCGATGCTGTAGGATTACTGGCTCGGCCTTGTATGCCCCTGCCATTCTCTGTGGTGCTGCTGTGAACAGGTTTTGATATTGGGCTATTGAAGTTGGAAATCTGAACAAATGTGCAAACAAAAGGAATGTTACATTACGTTTGCCTTTCTTAATAAGATTGTTAGTAGGGCTGCAGCTAATGATTATTTTCATAATCGATTAGTTACCTGATTATTTTTTACTAATCGATTTGGTTGTATAAAAAAAATTATCTCTATCCAGGTTTAGGTCTTATTAACTAGCCTGCATAGTTACATATGTTGAAAAAAGACACAAGTCCATCGGGTTCAACCTATAGAGATATGAAAAAAAGGAAAGTAAAGCCTAAACAGAACACTATGCCCACAATTACCCTCTGTTGATCCAGAGGAAGGCAAAAAAAAACCCCTATAAAGCATGATTCAATTTGCTCCAACAGGGGGAAAAAATTCCTTCCCGATCCCATAAAGCACTGAAAAAAGAAATCATCTGGTTGTAGTATGATGGACCTCTCGTGTTTTATTAGATATTACTAAGAAAAATGGACGTCTTGACAGCGTTGATGTTTGTTTGTTGGATCCAGGGTGTAAACAAGCCTGTCATACTTATAACTACACTGTCTTTTTTTTCTTTTTCAGAAGTCAGCAAGAAGCAGCAGCGAAAAAGTTCTTTTGATGAGCCATTGTACATTGCGCCACACTACATCCGGCGTATGTCTGTATGTAAAGGACTGCTCGACTAGTTTAAATTATTGAACTTTCGAAAAAAACTGCGACAGAAAAAAGATTTGGTTTATTAACAGATGGATATGAATACAAGAAAGGGATGATGAGAAATATTTTTATCTATTTTTTAAACTGTCCACGAGAATTGCATTTTTTTTCCATTTTATTGCAATAACGTCTAGTTTGTGATCGTTATTCCTAACACCCATCTACACTCAGGGCTGTTTCTAGATCGTTTTCTTCTTCTTTTTTTTTCTGCTCTCCAGCTAAAAAGCTAAATTTACCAATAGACATGCTTTATTTTGTTAAACCTAAAGTAAACCAGGCTCACTTTATAGCCTACATCCTCTGTTAATGGGCTTGGAGCCCCCCTCTGCTAAGGGCTGGCAGCCTTGGAAATACACAATACTCTGGGTATGAGTGATTATCTATCCATCTCCCTTTTCTCCCCCTATGCAGTGCACAGCGTCTAAGTGAACTGTTGCCAGGCCTGACCACTGCCAATGGGTGTGAGAGGAAGATCCCTATCCCTGTGTAAGCGCTGACTCGGAGCCTACAGAGGAACAAAGCAGATCGTAGGTGCAGGAAAGTCAAAGTGACGCTTAACTCAGGAGTTAAACTTAAAAATGCATCCAAGTACTTTAACTATTAATAAAAATGTATCTTATTTGTGTATCATTCAGCTGTAGATCCTCCAATCATCTCTGAAATGATGCTGACACTGTCCTTCCTTCTGGAGGGGGGCTACTTTTGTTCCCCATGGTCCCTGTGTGTGTTATAAAGTAGTCACCGCTCCAAGCTCATTCCTGGGATGGACTACAATCTCAATACACATTGGTAAACTAAACATGAGATTGTAGCCCATCACGAGTGAGCTTGGAGCGGTGACTACTTTATAACACACACAGGGACCATGGGGAACAAAAGTAGCCCCCCTCCAGAAGGAAGGACAGTGTCAGCACCAATTCAGAGATGATTTGAGGATCTACAGCCGAGTGACACACAAATAAAATAAATTTTTGTTAAAAGTTAAGGTACTTGGATGTATTAAGATTTAACTGCTGAGTTTAGTGTCACTTTAAGTGTTAGTTGGGGAGGATGTGGGCAAAGTGACAGATTCACTTTATTGTGATTGTAATATTTAGAATTGCCATCCATTTGGCAATACCAAAACCTTTTTTGTGTAAAGCCACTCCCAAGATGTATGTTAATTCTTAAAAGTATCTTCTGCCCTTTGACCGCTTACATCCACCCACTTGCACCTTTTATGAAAAGGGTTTTCCACTTGGGATACTCACACTTTTGTGTTTGGAAAGCCTGTAAACACATTGAAACACCCTCATTTTTTTAACATGCATATTGTATTCATTTCAGTAACATAGTTAACTATAGAGAAGACATTTAGGCTTCCTATATTTCCCACAATTAATTTTGTCAAGCTCATCAGAAGTCCATTTACATGCATTTCAATGTGTTTGCAGCGATTGCCAAGGAGTTGTGTATGATGGTAACTGGTGCTGATTGCCCGGAAATGCTTTGGAAACTGTTGGATTTTACATGTGTGTATTCTTAGCTCACATTGAAAGTGTTTTAAGAAGCACTAGTCATGTGCATCCAAAACTATAACAGTTTGTGCATACTCTTTAATTGTGTAAGATGAAGAATGCTGAAAAGTCACCAAAAGAACCAGAAAATGTATTTTTAGACTTTTGTTACTGAACAGGGACAATTCAGCATACAAGTTGTGAACTACATCTATCGTGAGATGTAGAAGGGGGAAGAGGAGGGCCCCTCCACTCAGTTTCCTCTTGACTGCTTTAGATTTAGAGCTCTTCAGTTTCCCACAGCAGCATTATGATACAGAATTCTGCTTGTTAACTTGTCATGGGGAGGGGGTCGGCAAAGCCGTATTTAAATGCTCGACCAGTTTCATGTCCATTTAGCTTATCGGTTTCTTAAATTGAATTTGTGCTTTATACATGCAAGGCAAAGCAACAGGTTCACTTTAATAGCAGTGCCTCTAGCTGTTTTTACTTGGCCTCCTGACACTCTGCTTGGTTGCAAAGATAGAAAGCCTTCTGTAAGCTTCAAGTCATGACCTGGAGTTTATACAGTTATAAGTATTCGCTCCTCATGTGACAGCGTTAGTTGTCCGAATGGCCAGTCGCCAAGCGTTGGCATATGGGAGAAAGTGTGAGTGAGTCACCTGCTCCCCATACCTGGGGAAGTACCCTGTATTTTTCTTCTCTCCTGGTGACCAAACTGAGCCAGGAGAAAGCAAAGTGAAGCTAAGTATTAGCAGTTGGTGGGGTATGCACCCCATACCTGGAATTACCGGGTATTTTTCATCTCTGATGATGGTCAAACAAAGTCGCAAAAAAGCAAAGTAAAGGTATAGCAGCCAATTTGACTGCAATTTAAGTGAACCTGATGCTTTGCCCTGAATATGCAAATCACCGGTTCACTCTATTGGTTCACCTTAAAGATGTAGATGCTATACTGAAACGTTTATGAAATGACTGTACATCAACCAGGGCACGCTAGGAGCCCTGAACCCCTGAGGAGCTCAGCCTGCAGCTCCAAAGTCAGAACTATGGCAGAAGAGTAGAAGATAGGCTCCCATAACAGTTCTTTCAGCATATAAAGATGAAAGGGTCAGTCAACACAAAGGCCTGCTGGGGAAAACGTTTTGCTCCAACAGCAAAATCTTCTTGCCTTACTTACTCTGCCAGCTGGGTTATTAACTTTTTTTTTTTAAGAGGGTCACAGCTGTGATGAAACTACAAATGCCATCATGCTTCTGCTTCTGGGAGTCATGCTTGTGACTGTCAGTCTTGCAATGCCTCATGGAAGTTATGGTTCCACAACAGCTGGTGTGCCAACCCCTTCCCTATACAGCCTAAGGTCAAAGTGAGGTGCTTGGCATGCATTACAGATACGTGTGGCTGAAAACATGTATTGCTCTGATTTGTACAGTCCAGATAACTTGAATTGCTCCTGCGGAGAACCTAGCCACAAGAGCAATTAAACTGGTGCGAAAGCAGGGTGCCAACTACCAATGCCACAGGCACTGGCTCCTATGTGTATAAGCCTGCAGTCTCCATAGTGGAGGTGAAAGAGCTGGTAGTTCCAGGAGATGGTTCTCATCACTGGAGTTCTTAAGTGTTATAAGAAGCCTGGTAGTGACCAGACCATACCCACTGGTCATTTCAATTAGGTCATCTCAATCATGTAATTACCACAATGAAAATGCTGCAAGTGAATGGTCACATCCAGGATTTGTAGTTTAGATAAGTCTCTGGTTAATCAGCAACAACTAATGTTTGTGTTAACGGTTCATACCAATGAATGGAAAAAAAATCTGTAAATAATGCATAGCCTTCAAGGATTCTCGGCTTAATTCAGATAGGACATGATTGTATGTATAATGCAAATACAACACAGCTGCTAATCCCTTCCCTTGCAAGATGCTTCTTCAGCTGTCATCCTAAGCTGCAATAGGTCAATACATAATCGCATACTGTTTCTTGGCCCTGTAGACCATACATTGATGTGTGACCAGTTGCTTCTGTTAAAATGTGTATCTGCTGCTTCTGAATTCTAGCTTCTATAAATGATCAGTTGGACTGTACAGATCAGTGGTAATCGCAATAGTAAAGGGAAAGAAAATGTAAAGTTGTTACCCATATCAGCCAATCATATTCCAGAAAATGAAAGCAAAAGCTTTGAGGACTTGACAGTTTAACTTTTTAACAGCCAGTTAGAATATTTAATATACTTGCCTAATAGTCTTTCATTGTAAACACTTGAGTGTGTGGCCTATGGTGTCTATTTTAGGACATCCTTCCTACATGATTCTGCCCATTTTGGTTTGTGCAGTTAATTAAAGTGACACTAAACTCAGGAGTTAAATCATAAAAATACATTCAAGTACCTCAACTATTAACAAAAATGTATCTAATTTGTGCATCACTAGGCTGTAGATCCTCAAATCATCTCTGAATTGGTGCTGACACTGTCCTTCCTTCTGGAGGGGGGCTACTTTTGTTCCTCATGGTCCCTGTGTGTGTTGTAAAGTAGTCACCGCTCCAAGCTCTCTCCTGTGATAAACTACAATCTCAATACAAATTAGTAGGGATGCACCGATACAAGTATTTGGGCGAGTATCGGTACATGTACTCAATACCGGAAAAAACGGTCTCGGTGCATCCCTACACATTACTAAACTAAACATGAGATTGTAGTCCATCCCGGGAGTGAGCTTGCAGCGGTGACTACTTTACAACACACACACACAGGAACCATGGGGGACACAAGTATCCACCATCCAGAAGGAAGAACAGTGTCAGTATGAATTCAGAGATGATTTGAGGATCCACAGCCGAGTGATACACAAATAAGATACATTTTGTTAATGGGGTACCTGAATGCATTTTTAAGATTTAATGCCTGAGTTTAGAAAAGAAAAATGTACCATTTGAGATAAACTGATAATGTCCTATATACAGTTGAGGGTAATGTCTTACAGTGCACACGGTAGGCCTAACAAAACCAAGGTTCAGGCCAAATGTTTCTGTGCAAAAGGGTAACCATGAAAATAGTGTTTTTTTAATGAATTATTTGGATAAGACTAATGACGGGGAACCTTTACTGTTAAAGCTGTACCGAACTAAGGGTGGCAGAGGGCAAAGACTTTTACCTTTTTAGGTTTCCCTGCAACTGATCTTTTTCTAATCACTGACTTTAACATACCTTGTTCTGCATTGTCTCTGTATGGAGGTGGCCATTTTAGTAAAGACAGGGCTTTGCTTCCCTGATGACTGGTGATCTGACAACTGGTGGGGAAATATTCGGGAAGCAACAGGGAGAAGTGTTTCACAGAATACATAAAGCAGAAGCAAGGAGATTCTTGCACTGCAGGTCCCTTGCTTCAGCTTCCTCTGCATTTAAGAATAACAGAGGGAAGCACTATAATCTCAACA